TGCAGTCATGACTGTATCCTATAAAAACTGCAAACTTCTGTGCATGCATTACCAGTTTCTGCTCCTGTTTCCTACTCATGTCTCTGATGATGAATCCGCGACGGATGACGAAACGTCAGGCGAATAAACATATTGTGTATTGTCCCAGCAATCGAGTCTTCTTCTTCTCAATTGCTTCCTGGGACTCGTATGTTCGCTTGTGTTGGTAATACCGAAATATATCTATCTCTTCGTGGTAATGGCTTTCAAGTGCGATTATTCTTGGCCATTCGCATAAATCAGACTCGGCAGAAATGAATACATAGTACGAAGAACTTTTTTCATTTATTTTCGGTTCCTCCTTCCTAAAAGTTGACGTAATTTCGTCACCTAGTAACGTGGACGATATTTATCCATTTGTGTCCCTTATTTGGCGGCCTCGGTGGTATTGAAACCAACGTCAGCTGGGGGAGGCCAACGCTCTAGCCATCTGGACCACGAGGTCTCCATCGGAAAAATCACACTTGGATCAATATACCCACCCAGTCTGTTGCAACGTATGGCAATTAGGCGAATGAGCATGTTCAATGCATCCTTCCAACAAGATGGGCTTCCGGCGCACTGGAAATTTACAGTGCTAGGATAGCTCAACAAGAAACTGCCGGGACGATTCATCGGACGTGCTGTTGATGGAGATCGTGTGCTATTAAAATGACCCAACGCCTACCTGATTTCACACTCGGGTGATTTATTTGTGTGAAGACTGTGCGAAAGAACTGGTCTATGTCCCACCACTTTGTTTATACCTAAAACTCAATTAGAGGATCATCGAGTGAGTGCAAGTGAAGGAGGAACTCGACTACTGAATTGATATGTGGAAAATCGTACTGTTAAAATAGTAACTTTTAGAATGTGTAGTTTGAATAGGTGGCAGGAAAAAAGTTAATTTTATAGCGGTTTTATTACGAATAGAGTGCGCATGTGTTATAGTTGATTCTAAATCCTTCCCAAAACTCTGTATGGCCGGGCGCACATAAAATATGAAGTACGGTTTTGCCTGCTTAGGTGGCGGAAAAGTTTTCACATGAATACCTTTTGCCTCCAATCACCTATAAGCACTGTTCCGGTAGTATTATCAGGATATTCCAAACTCCTTGGACAGCGGCTGTTGGCTACAGCAGAAGCTGCTGCAATCAGGTTAAGCAAACGCTTTCTGTGCACTAGAAATATCTTTGTAAAGGCACCGCAGTTACCATGACCGAAAGTCACCACTTCGCCCATTAAGGGACATTCACCGGCCGCTAACGGAACTCATCTGTCCCGTCGTTCCTTGGGCCTCGACAGAGGCCCTGATGGCCCTTACAGCTGATAGTATAAGCAGATAATATTGCCGGCAAAAACAAGGG